TCGTTGCTTACAGAAGTGCAAGCTTTTTTCTCTCTTTTCTCCCCCTGCCTCCCACTCCACCCCAATGGTATGATGAGCCCTTGAGAAATAGATGGGAACTGTCTGGTATGTGTCCTATATGTTGCAAAATTTCTGTAGTTTCTAGGCTTTTGTTCTTTCGCTCTTTAAAGGAGAATAATTTTACTGTTTTACTGCTGAGGGAAGGGGGAGGATTTTTGTAACCTTACTGATGAGCTTGTCCTGCCTTTTTAAAAAGACACTGTTCCTTGTCCTTTTCCCAAAGATACTTAGACACCACTTTAATGCCATCACTAAATTGCAAGGACACTGTGAAGTGTAAGTTTGACCTTAAAAAGTCTATTTCTTCTGGTTTAAATAAGGAATCCCAGGACCTGTAAGGGCTCCAAAGTGGCAACTCTTACTGCAAGTTACAGATAAAAGATGCACCTACTAAGGCACATGTTTTACCTCTGTATATTTTATATTATATTTTGTACTCTTGGCTACCAATTTAGAAATAAAGGCAATATTTATTTCTGACTGTTCCATGAGATGATATTCCTTTTTAGTACTGAGATAGTAGTAGTTGCAAGTTTTTAGAGTAGTGTCCCACTTAAATTTTAAAAAAAAAACCCAAACTTTTCCATTGGATAAAATGGATAAGAAAGTTAGGAAGATGTTGCCCTGAGTTTTGTTTTATAACCTGGAGCACAGCAGGGTTTAAAGGTGTGGCAGTTCTGTTCTTTTCCATCCAGTTGGGAAGTTCAGTTCATTTGATGAGTTTGTAACACTGCGATGTCATCTGGTGAATGCTGAGTTGAGCAGCTTGCTAATAAATTGCATTGTAATGTTGGATACTCCCACTGTTTTGGCTGAGATCATAAGGCTTATTGCATTCTTGCAGATAGCTGGGCCAGCTCACTGCACACTGGGACCATATGGTCAAACTGGCGTAAGGGCATTAGCCAGCCGTCAGGGCTGATTGAAGCCACGCTGGTAGTCTAGAGCAAACGATAGAGCCAGTCAGGAGATAAACAACAAATGGAAGGTTATAAAATGCCACCCAGCTAGCGAGGAGCGGTGGGAGTGGGAGTACATTCAAGGGCTGATAGGCATAATGCAGTGTGGTAGGTTTGCTGGAGGGAATTGCTCATCTTCCCAGCCCTGTAGCTTGCAGCTGCTCTGCAGTTCCTCCCCGCACTGACCATATTGCTGGGGGAGCAGTCACTCGTGTAAGAGGGCATCTGAATGCTTAGCGAGGCTTGAGCCTGCTCTTGCACAGCTATGAGGACTCTTCACGTTGAGGACTGGCAGTATGAATGGGTACTGGGTCTCTGGTCATGTTTGTCAACAGTAACTGGAGCATTGGATAGAGACTTTATTTTCATCAGTTGTTTTCTTATGCCCAATTTCTCTAAGTATGAATATCTGCTCTTCAGATACCATCAGATCAGATCGCTGTATTCATCGTTAGGTAAAATATTATGGAGATGTGTTTTTCAGCTCTGGAAATGCCAGATTAGTGAGATTGGCAGAAAAGGTTGGAAATCACAAAATTATATACTTCTGGTTGTCTTCTGACTGGGATGAGGGCGCTGTACCACAGTTTGGTACTGTACTGCAGCACGGGGGCAATAGCCATTTAGCCGATGCCTTTTCTTGGAGTTACCGTTTGAATGGAGATGCTTCTTGAATCTGTGAAGGAACCAGAAGGAGTACAAGGTATCTTGTGTTCCCCGTGGAGAAATCTAGAAGCATGATTGCTAGTGCTAGCTCTTCCAGCTATTTTTTTTTTTTTTGGTAGTGTTATATAAGATACCAGAAAAATAGAATTTTGTTGTCATGTTAAATTTAAGGGGCGGGGGTGGTGGGGGAACAACAAAGCTTTTGATCTTTCTTCAGTAAATAGGAGACTGGTTACAGAATGTAAATATTTATCTTAGATGATGCTATAAGCAGTACATTTCTTTCTCTCTCATAACAGATAAGGACAAAACCAAGTTAGTCATCAAGATGTACATGATTTCTAAGATGCTTCTTGTCCTGCGTTAAGTTGTTCATTTTGGCGATCGATAGCAGCGTAACAGTTGTCTTATTTTTCCACAAACTATACGACTGATGCAATACTACAAAGCAGCTTGAGGGAGTACTAGCACACAGAATTAAAGCCTGCATTGGTCTGCTGAAGGTTGGGTAAAAATATTCCAAGAAATGGCATTTCTTAAGTGGACAAGTACCTTTCCGTGCTCTTAGAGCTCTTTGGTATTTGTCAGTAGACAACGATGGGTCACCCCTAAAGTTATTACATTTTTAAATATTGGTGCTGGATGAAGAGCTCAGCAAAAAAAGCATATATTACGCAAACAAGCATACTGTTTACCTAGCATGGTTTATGATGAATTATATTTCAATGTTTGAAATTAAGAAAAGGTTAAATACTCAGAGAATATTAATGGTAGCTTGGGCATGGGACCAGCTCAGTGGGAAAAACAGCCTATGAAAGAAATGAATTTCAAATATCTTCCTCAATGTTATTTTTTTTTCTCTTCTGCATGTTCTTTGTTTCTGAAGCACCCTGTGAGGTGTGGAGCCCTGAATGAGAGTGGTGTTCCTGGGAGAAGGATTACCTTGTAATGGGGATGGGACGGGGGTTGCTGGGGGAGAAGTCTCATGGATGCTTGTCCTATTCTTACTCTGTGTCTCCAGCTCGTTTGGGCTGTTCTCTGGTGTGGGCCCAGGGCCACATCAGCTGCGGCCCTGCTGGTGCCGTGGGAAGCTTCTTCATCGCCTCTTCTTGCTTGGTGGCCTGCACCATCCTGGTCTGTGTGGAGCCAGGTGGGCCCTGCATACCATCCCTCCACTAGCCCATGAAGCATTCAGGATTGCATGTGACTCTTCCTTGGCATAGGAGCCAGTCTTCTCTTTATGTTTTTACAAAAGCTTTACTTAAAAGCAAAAATGAGACAACACTTAAAAGTGCTGAAATTGTTTCTCATTATCAGCTGCCTTTGTGACTTTGAGGACACTGAATTGGGCCATCTTATTTAAAGGGAATGCTGCGTGATTCCCGTCTGGATCTTCCTGCAGCTGAGGGAGTTGTACATCTGCATGTAGTGCCTAAAATCTCTGCAGATGACAGTTCTTTGTGCCTTCATCTTGGCAGCCATGTGTGGCAAAACACAACCAGATAAAATAGGATGCTTAGGTGATTAGGAAGAGGCAGCTTCCCGTAGCTATGGGTCTCTGGGGTGGACATGTTCAGGGAGGGGTTGATCAGGGAAGCTGCCACTGCAGAAATGAGGTTCGGTACTCAAAGCTAAGTGCATTTTTTTTTGCCCATGGATCAGTACAAACGGATTCTTTCTTAGGGACATAAGTCTTGATCCTGCTTCGGCATACAGGTTATAGCGTGTGAAATACAATTTAGGGAAGGGTGAGTGCTCGTTAGTCTCTTAGTTTTGGGAAGATGCAATATTTGTATTTGAGGCTGGTTCGCACCAGTCCAGGGCCTGCTGATGGTAGTGGAAAAACTATTCACTTAATGGGCTTTGGATTAGTCTTGAGTAGCTTATTTTACCCACACCTCCTGCAAAAGGTGACGCATTCTTCCTCTGTTGTTACTTCGTCATCCAAATGTGTTACACCTGGTTGACCAACGTGCCTTAAAGGAGATCTCATGGGTTAGTGCACTAATTGCCACTTGTGCAGGAAGAAGAAGCTGTTGCTTTGTGGCAGCTCCTGTTTGTCTTGCTGACCCTGGCTGTGTGTTTGGTGTCGCTTTTTATTAAAGCCAAATTGAAGCAGATCCTTTTGGCAGAAGGTTCTTTGGCAGTTAAGCATTTTTAATCAGTGTTGAAGCAGATCCTTTTGGCAGAAGGTTCTTTGGTAGTTAAGCATTAATGATGGTGTAAGGATTTGCATAAATTTAAGATGTGCACTTTGTGCAGGTGCTGGTGGTGTTCTGGTAAGCATTGCCTGGTCACCATTGCTTTCTGTGAGCAATGGTGACTGAGGCACTTGGTGAGCGTCATGCCCCCTTCAGCAAAGCTACTCATGACATCTCTGAAGGGAACAGATGAGCGTTTCCTGTAAATACACGTACTGGAAACATCTGCCCGGCACATTGAATTAAAGGATTTTGCTTGATGTGCCGTCTGACCCCGTATGCTGAGAAACGCCAGTCCTCTGTTTTCCTCATGACTTCCCCCATCTTTTTCTTAAGCTGTCTTTTTGGCGCACTCTTCCGCGGCTGGAGCTGTAAGGATGGACTAGACCTCGCTTCCCGCATCTGTCCCAGCAGCTGTACCGCTTCCTGCCATGAATCATCCGAAACACACTTCTTGATTATTTTATTTAAGGGTGAAGGCACATTTGTTTTCCTGAAGCCACAAACTAATCTTGGCAGTCTGGCAGCCAAGCCTTACATGAAGGCTCTGGTGTGCAAGTGTTCAGAGGAAGGAAATGCCTCCCCATCGGTGGTGGTCACGGGCAAGCCCGGAGCAGAGCCCCTTTCCTTGCGGGCTTCGGTTGTGGTCAGAGGAACTGCAAACTTCATCACTTCTTAGAGAGCTGCAGCAAAACATCTTCTCTCTTTGCATGTCAGTGTCAAGCATGCCATGACGACTGGTTTTCAGAAGTTCATCACTACAGATAACCAAGTACTAATTGTCAAATGATCTTTGGAGCAGGGGGCATAATCTTTTGCCTGAGAAGTCTTGGCTATGTTTTGGATCCTCTCTGGGTCTGATGTTTGGGCTTTGTTTTCCAGGGCTCCTTGATTGCGTGTATTTCAATTCGAGCAGTCTAAAACAAGGCTTTTTTTTGTTCAGAGGCGCTGAGTTCCTGAAACTTGAGAGGTTACTGTATTTCACACAAAGACGAAATCCAAAATCTGCCCCCTCTGTTTTGTCTTTAAAAAAACCCACCAAAAAACCCCCAACCCCAAAGCGCACTAATTACAAAGTTGTTAAGTGGTTTTTTTTCCTTGTTAATTTTTCTAGGGAAACGTCAGATTCACCACTTGGGAAACCAGCTTCAACTCAATCAACATTGTCTGGATACTGCCTTTAATTTTTTCAAGATGGCTGTGAGCAAGCACCTAACCCGGGGGAGAAAGATGACCCACGTAATTGCTGCATGTCTCTACCTGGTGTGTAGGACAGAAGGCACTCCTCGTATCCTTTCACGTTTAAAAAATAAAAATAAATAAATATAAGACATACTTCTAGTAAGTCAACTATCCCAGTTAGGTCTTGTTTCAAAATTTGCAAAGGTAAGTGTTTAGGAGCTAACTTTGTCACTGTTGGTTTTATATAATGTAGTGAATGGGAGGTTTTTTTCTGTGGTTCAAGTAAAATTTTTCCCTTTTTAAATGTACAATACTTGGTATTTAGAAGGAGCTATAAATATCGCTCTGCCTCCCATCAGTAACTCTAAATTTCTTTTTTCTCAATGTTTTCTTCTAGTAGAAGATGGCACTTTTCCTGTGCCTTGCTAGGGATTACTTGTTTATGGTGTGTTGGTCTTTCTTTTTGTTCTGTTTTTCTTTTTTAAAACATGAAAATTAACCCCAACCCTCCTGTAGTGTCAGCAATAAAGAAAATATTATAGTTCCAGTGGGTTATCCATATGATATTTGGATTTCCTTTTTTTAATGGTTGTGGGAAGGACAGTATCACTCTTGGTTTAGTTTTAGGGAAAAAGGCATTTGATAAACTCTGAAATTTGCTCAGAGATCGTACGGGAAATCTGGCTGGAGGTGGGACTGCAGGCAGGCCAGAGTTGTGAGTACTCCTTGCCTCTAGACCTTCCCTATTTTTGTCTTGTAGAACTTCATTAAAATTCATGTAAACTTTAAATACTGCTTGCCATCCAAATTTGTTTGTTTTATATATTTTTACTTTTTTAATGCTGTGTTTCAGTTGCTGGAATTTGGAGTTTAGTATAAAACAATTTCTTCTGTGTTATTTTAGTTTTTTTCTACTTTAAACCAGTATGTGCATATCATCAGTATTCTATTTGATTTGATGCTTTTTCTGGATTGCTGTTTTCATCCTATATTTTAGCAGTTGAACAGCTTAGCTTTTCTTTTAAGATTGAGATGATTTTTTTTAGTTTCAGAAACTACATTCAGTATTCTGAAATTAGTGCTTTCTGATGGCGTTGTGGTCATTGCATTTGCATGTTCAAAAAAATGTGGTTTTGCAGGAGTAATGGAATTAAAAGGAAAGCTTGCCTATTCCACTAGTCTCTTCTAATGTAAAAATCTCTCTGTGAACTTTGAACATTATAACCCTCATTACCATAAAGACAGTATTGATCTAAAAACATTGCCATTATTTTTTATGCCCATGTCACGTTTTTCAAGTCATTTATTTACAGTCGTTATTTGATACTACTGAATGATAGCCTAGACATAATATGCCAATCCCTTTTTCCTCAGTGATACTGATAAAAAAAAGCATTTGAAGCAGTATGAGCTGTAATAGGCAACTAGGTACATTGTAATATAGCAGCCATCTCTGCAGCAAGTGTGGCTAACTTCTCTGGCAAACAAAAAAAACCCACCCCTTGGCTTGTTTGATGTATCCTTCTTTAAAATATTTCAGCATATGCAAGATATACTGGTCTGGTTGACACTTCATAAATACCTAAATTAATTTTCCCACTTCATTAAATTGAGATAATATTCTGTGTGATATTTCACGTAAAATACTAGGACCTGGGTATGAATAAGACTGCAAAGGTGGGCTCTGTCTTTCTATATCAATATCACAAAGTACTCCATCTTCATTTGCATGGTTACTGTGCCACCTGGGAATCAAGAAGTGGTAGGGCATGACTGTATGGCTAATGTTTGAAATTTTTTAAAAAATCCATTAGATAAACTTAATTTTGTAGTTGATATTAAGAATTTAACTGTGTTACTTTGGGAGAGTGAGCTCAGCTTCTGCCTGTGTTCTGCTCTTTGGGTTTTTGTTTTGTTTTTTAGTATTTAAAATACAGTGTAGTTTGAAAAACAAACCCCAAATAAATTATGAATTCTGAACATTGGAATCTAAGGTCCTTTTCTAGTATCTTATCTGTTCATTAGCAACTCAAAAACCTGAGAGCCACAGGTGCATATTGCTGACCTTTGAAATGAAAATACATTCAAGCCTCCGTAGATTAATTATGATTATCATTACCAGCACGTTATATTTGTTTCCAGCCTAGATCTGGCAATACAGAAATGTGCTAGAGGAGGCAGGCGTCTTCCCAGGGCCTTTGGTCCAGGGAGACCAAGAGCAGGTGCAGAGGATGGCCACGTGGCAAGATGCTTTAGCAAGAACGAAGATGCACGTTCGGGGTAATAAGCTTGCAGTTGGTTTTGGTCTTCTGGAGAAGCCAGCAGAGGATGGCATGCAAAGAGAAGTAGGCTGTACAAAGGACGTACGGTATTTGTAACACTTCAAGATTTATATGACACTGCTAAGCAGATCTGCTGAGTTTAAAGTGTTTATTATCATTGTGTTGGTTGTAGAACTCTTATGAAGACATTTGGGAGAAATTTAGAAAAGGAAGTTAAAGACACCTTGGTTTTGGGTGGCCCAAATGAATCAGTGGGATGACTTGGGAGTCATAGAGGCAACAGAGATCAGCTGGGAAGAGATTAGTCTCTGAAGTAGAAGATGGCATATTTTTTAAAAAATATCATGGCGGAAGGAACAAAGTATGTACGTGGCCTAGGGAGGTACAGTGGGATGTAGTCAGGGGCTGAAGTGGCAAGAAATTTTGTGTTCTCTCTCCTGTGGTAGAACCAAAGGAGTGGGAAGTGTTTGGAGAGGGGAAAACAGCGTTTAATTGTGTCTGCATTGAGTTCAGTTTGAGGGAGTGGAATGTATTTATCTGACATGGATATCTGCTTATTCTTCTTTTTTCATAATGTACATGTCGCCAGCCAGCCTCTGTGAAGATGTGAGGAAAACTGTAGCCAAGTCTACTGGTGCAGTCTGAATTATGCCTGAATAAACCTCAGCCTGAAATAGGAAAACATTAAGTTCTCCTTGGTTCTTATGTGGTGTTTAATTAATGCAAAAATGCAATATATTCCAGTAAACAGAATTTTTTTTAATCTGAAGAAATATTTCTAGAACTTAAGGAGAACGCAAAAGTTAGTTTATCTGAAGTGCAGCTTTTATATATAGTTCTTGAGAAAGTTTAATATATTATTTGAGTCTGAAATGATTTGACATTAGTTTGTGGTTTTTATTAGCTTATTTGACACAAACCCCCACAATGCAGCAACTTTGACACAGCTTTTCATTTGCCTTGCTTGTATTACTTGTCAGTGTTAATGTTTTAAAGGGAAGATGGCTTACTAGCTATTAGCTAAATTTAGGAGGTGTTTCATCCTTTTGATGAGCTACCTATAAAAACTTTATTATTCTCTTTATAAAATCTGTCTATATTATCGGTGTCAGAAGTAAAGGTATAATACAAAAAATACATCTGAAGGAGATAATGATTTTTAAATCCTCAGGTTTGATGGAACCGGTTGTGCCCCTTACCAGGGGCTGAGCCATGCTGAGCGTTTCCAGTGACATCTGACTTCAGCTGGCACTGCCAGCGCTCTGGGCATTTCAGACTCTGCCTCTTAATTTGTTTCTTGGAATAGTAACAGTCCTCAGTTGTTTCTCTTTAATGTTTTGAACAGCTTTTCCACCCCTACATATGTTTGAATGGAAACAAAGGGCTCTTTAGCTGGTCCTGCCGTTCCCAAGAGAGAGAGCACTTGGGAAGAGCCAGGCAGGGTGTTTGAGTGACTTACAGGCTCGGCTGTAACCCGTGGCTGCCCTAGGGTCACTTGGGAACAATGAGAGCCTGGCCAGAATTTTCCAGGTGGGATATCAGTTTGTTTTAGCCAAGGGAAGTTTCATTCTGCTTGTAATCCTTTTTACTGTACACAACAGTTAGAAAAAATGTACAACTGTCCACCTTTTTGTTTGTGATATTTTGAACTCTACCACCTGGGGGTTTTTACAGCAACATTTTACATGGTAAATGTAATTTATTCACACACACACACACACACACACACACACCCGTTTTTTATTTATTTATTCTTTTCCTTTGAAGCTCTCTGGAAAACGCACCCTTAGTTGTAAACCAAATCCTGTCTTGTTAGAGCTTAGTAAATAAAACCTTTTCCACATGACAAAAAGTTCTCACAGAGTTCCCTCACCAGCTATCTTGTGTAAACATCCCCTTGTTTGCCTCTGGAGGTAAATTCAGGGCAGGTTTTTCCCCCTCCAGTAAAGCTGATCAGTCTTGATGCAGGGGGGCTCGCCAAGCCCTTCCCACGGCCTGGGGCAGGGGCAGCCTCCTGAGCTTGAGGTTGCCCAAGTTATTCAGGTGGTCTTCAGCCGGCTTTGTGTGTAGTCAGAGGAAAGAGGTGGGGTCCTCCTGGGGTCTGTCCAAGGCAGCCAAGTGAGACCTCTCTTCCCAGTTGTTTGCAGAACGTTTCCGCTAAATGTCTAAGGAAAACAACCTCTTAAATTTGAGCGTTGGGAGCAGCAGGCTGACAGGAGAAAGTTCAGTGCCTTGGTGTCTTTTATGTGTAAACTTGTGCTGGGTGGGAAAGCGTAAGGCGCTTTTCCTCCCCTGCTTCCTCTGCCCTGTGAACCTCCCTTTTGTTTGAGGGAAGATCACGAATGCATTGCAGGATCCCAGCAGGCAAGAAGGATTTGGAAAAAAAACGGGCATCTCCTGGCTGAATGGGGCAGTACTTTGTTATTTCCTATTTGTCTGCCGTACTTGCACTTTATTGCCAAGCTCTTTTGAATGCCTTCTGGTTTAATGTGTTTATTTTCATGTCACAGTAAGGGAAGTTGAGAGTATTTATCTTCATTTCCAGGTGCAGAACTGAGGCTAAGTGACATATTCAAAGTTACCCAGAAAATCTGTGACGGAGCAAGGAATTGGTCTCTTTAATCCTAGATTAGGCATCAGCTACTGAGCCTTTCTGCCTTGTTGTCTTTGCAAAAGAAGTTCAGCTAATTTCCTTTCAAGCATTAGCAGGCTCTGTTGGCTTCCATACTGTCTTGGGAAGCTTTGTATAACCTCGCCATGAGAACCTTTGATGGATACATTCTTTGTTTCCCTACTAACACTTCAAGGTCTATCTTTGCAAGGA